ATTTTATTGCCATATCTTCCATCGTCTGCTGTCTCCCTTCACTCACCTTTCTGTTCTTCATCCTCCTGCGGAGGGGGGTGGCGGTTATACGACAATCCTTGGGATTGGTTCCTAGTTTCTCCCCCTTCTCGCCGAACCTGCCCCCTACCCTCATGGTATCACTACTCCCATTATCATTCCTGAAGATTTATCTGTACTGGATTTCATGTGTTGAGAACTCTTATCTGTACCAGGGTACATGCTCCAGTCTAAGCAGATTTGTAAGGTAGAACTGGGGTCATGATTGTGGAAGGGGGGTTCAGGGGAGGAAGCACCAAAGAACTAGAGGAATACTGTGCATTTCATTGATGTTGTACTGCATCCTGGCTGACTCATCCCTTCCTTGTGACCCTTCTGTGAGGGGATATGAAATTTGCTAATACTTATTGTAAAACCAACGATAAATAAGATCTTCTAGCTATTCTTTTTAGGTTTATAAAAACTGATGTTTGGAAAGGCTTTGTTTGAGGATGTCTCTTCTACCCTTTAAGTTTTCAATAGACCCATCCAGCCCTATTTTCCCGCTTGGCTCAAACACAATCATTTGCCTAATCAGTCTACTGCTCACCTGGGAGCATGGCTTCAAAGTTTCTCACAACTTTCATCGCAGATGCTCCCACCTGTGCCCCATTTTCTCCCTCCAACCCCCCAACCCTGAAACCTTGCTCTCCTCCTATCTAGACCTCCAGGATACACTTGGCTCTTCTTGTCTGTCTACTTGTAGATTAATGTTTGTAATTATTGATTATGCAGCACGGCATATGTAATTATATTTACCTTTGTTGTCTGTAACACTTGCAGCAAATTGGTTTTCCATTCAGCAATTCAAACACATTTCATTTTATGATGTTGATTGCAGTCCCCCCAGTGTAATAGCATTCTTCTCACTTCCTCCATGCACGTTAGCATTTTGGCTTTGTTTTGCTTTAGGAGCCCAGTGACATAGTGGTTATGAGATGGCCTGCTAACTGCGAGGTCAGCAATTCGAAACCACCTGCTGGTTTGTGAAAGAATGATGGGGCTCTACTCCCATAAAGAGTTTCAGTCTTGGAAACTCACAGGGACAGTTCTACTCTGTCCTATGAGTCGGCTTTGATTCGATGGCAGGAATTTTATCTTCTGGCTCACCACTCCTCATCACCCAGGAGTACTCGGTCTTAAAGCTAGTCCACCAGGATTCAATACCATTTTCTGATGCATAGGTTAAACCTCAGTTTCCTTTATCACAAGGGCAGACAGTTCACTTCCCAAGGGACTCAGAGTCTCTCCACAGGAAAATATTCCTGACATCTTGCCCCAAGCTGAATTTGGTAGCCCTCTTCCCCTCTGGGCTTCTACGGCTTCCTCAGTTCCTATGTTTCCCTTACTTATTTCACTTAGTTTGTTTTCTTTGTATTGCATTTCCTTTCCCCAGTCCATATCTCTTTCCCAATGTGGGAGGTTTTGGTGAACAAGGATCTTGTGTAGGACATCTCGCTAACTTAGCATGTGGCACATGGGAGACATGAAGCTAGAGTGCTTGTTTTAGAGCCATGAAGCCACTTGCCCTGACTAATGGGTCTCAGAGAGCCTCGATGTTTGCTGGGAATTCAATGACAAATGTGGTTACTTCCCTTTTGGTTTTTATCAGCATGCTTTGAAAAGAAACACTGACCCTCTTCTCTGATAAACTTTTGAGTTGACCTTAAATCTTGTACATATACAAAGCCTAAAGAAGGATTTGTTTATGCCTCCTGGATGAACTCTAGCCTGTTCCATGGTCAAGTCTATCTATCACCCAGCAAGCTGGCTGAGTTATGTTTTTTGAAGAGAAAGAACGGAGGTGTGGCTCTCAAACCTCCTTCTCACATGTGCCTGATAGGTAGGTGCTCCAAGACACCCAGCAGAATGACCACGCCAGAAAAGGGCATCTTAGGAAAAAATGCTGCTCCTGGACTATCCTTCTGCTTGGGAAAATGTTGCTGGAGGGAAGATTCTGTAAGAGTCTATCTGCCCTCTGGTTTGACTCCTTGACCAGATGCCCACACTGTTGTTCTCTTCCTCCCCCCATTTCCTTCTCTGCTTTCTGCTGAACAGGAGGCAGCCTCACGCCTGCTGGCACGCAAGGCCCTTGGGAGAGAGAAAATGGGTGTTGCCTATCTCTCCACTCCTTTTCTTCCCATACCTCCACTCCACTCCAGCTCCTGGGAATAGAAGGCTGTAGTCCTTTAGGGCCCTTGCTCTTCACTGGTCCTGGCCCCTAACCCACACATAAGAGGCTCAGACTCAAGCTCACTGCCATCAGGTTCAGCAAGACTCATAGTGGCCCCAGGTAGCGGACCAGTGGTTGATAAATCCAGGTCAGCAATACATTCTGAGAAGATAGATGGCAGCTCCCTTAACCCATATTTAGGATACCCTGTCTCACTCAATGGGATATAGGGGTGACCTTGACAAGGAAGAGGTTAGGAAATTGACATCTGCAGCCTCAGGTTCCAGTGGATCCAGTGAGGGTGGGGGTGGGGGTGGGGTAACTCCTGTTCTCAGGACACAGTGACAATGAAACAGGGACTCTTTCCTGTCATGAAACCATTATCTGACCCTCCAAGCAATGAACAGCTAGCTCCCTTGGGCACATAAGGGAGCTGCTGCTACCAGCCACTACTGCTTTCAGCAATGAAAAAAAAACAAAACTTCAGTT